TTTTTTTTTTGACGTTCCGGATTTAATTTCGGCACTTTCAAAGCCGTTCGGAGCTCCTATACACACGATTAATTCTGACTCGCTCGAAAAAATCCTCTAAAATTGTGACGCATATTTTCGGACTCCTGAGGCTACGACGTCCGAAAATATGGGGGCAACTGATGTATTCTCAGAAAATTATCTTGAACAAGCACGAATCACGAGGCAAAATCTAATCGGAAACTTTCAAAAATTAAAATCAAGAGCATTTAAACTCCGAATTTAGCGAGCTTATAGTCAAACTGAGCGTCTTGGAACTACGAACCCAACGACACCAAATTCGACTCAATCCGAGCCCAAATGAATCCAAATCAAGGACCCAAAGCGTTGTTGGAAGGTTCAAACCATAATTTGAGTTACCAAACGGTCTCCGATTTTAACGAGCTTATACTCAAATTGAACGGCTCGACGATACGAATCCAACGAGACCAAGATCGGCAAATTCTGACATCACTAAGGCCTTCAAAAGAATAACAAACGGTGCATGATCAAATGGGTCCATATCGGCCGTCCATTCAAACCACTCCCAATTCGCCCCTGATCTCACACCTATTTACAAGCCATGCCACTCCAGAAAAACTATAAATAGATCCCTCATTTTTCACAAGAAGGGGAGGAGGGAAGGAGAGAGAAGAAGAAGAGAAGAGGAAGAGAAGGGGAAAAGGAGAACCATCTCCTCCTTGACCACCGCCAGAGTTCGTCCTGCCGCCCGAACACGCCGGGATTCTGCGTGATATTCGGGAGAACGCCTGAATTCTGCCCAACTACCACGTGATGTTGAAATTCTTCCCAATTAACAACAGAGTTCCCTCCTGACGCCGAAACTCCGCCCAAGTGAAGCCGGAGTTCTCCTCTGCCACCAACAAACGTCGGACCTTCACTCTTCGCTAAGTTTCTACCCGACGTCGGATTTTGAATAGTTATCGAACTTCGCTGGACGTCTATATGAAGATGGATTTCTTCCCATTGTTGGACTTCTACCTGATGCCGTCCTTCCGACCTTCGTCTTCAGACAACAGTTCTTCCGACCTCCGTCTCCAACCGACTATGGTCCTACTGACTTATATCGCCCGCCGACTACAGTCTTTCCAACATCCATCGCCCGTCGACTACGGTCCTCCTGACTTACATCGCCCGCCAACTACAGTCCTTCCGACCTCCGTCGCCAGCCGACTACGGTCCTCCTGACTTACGTCGCCTACCGACTACGGTCCTTCCGACCAAACGAACACGTCAACAGTGACTCTTTGTATTCCCAATATGTAATGTACTTCATATAATGTACATCAAACCTATGCCTTCCTCAAAGGAAGGGCCTCATTTGTAATCGAATACAATACTAGTGGATTCATTCAAACTGGGCTAGACCCCGTGGTGTTTCCCCCTTTTTAGGGGTTTTTCACGTAAAAATCTTGGCGTCTCATAAATGCTAGATTCTTTCTCTTATCTGATTGCGTGCCAGATTTTCGTACAACACTAAGATGATAAACTTTATATTTCTCTACCGCCGCGAATACTCCTGGACACAACAATTAGAATAATACATTTGGCTATATTCGGTTACCTGTTATATTCCAGAATGCTTTATACTACTTTTGTAAATAGCTTTCTTTATGTATATATGCTTCTATATAAAGAAGCTCTTTGTATCAATTTCGGTAAGAAAGATAAGAAAGAGTTTGAGGTTTCTTCTTCTTTTATTTCCTTTGCATTCTCTATTTCTACATGTATCAGTGTATTTGTCTTCTGTGGCTTAAATGTCTTAAAAATTAAAAAAATAAAGAATTTGATTCTGATCTAGCAGAGTTTCGAATGATCTTTTTCTTCTTTCAGAGACTCTTCCAAGGGATTAATTATTCCGTGCCCATTCGAAGACAAATTAGAGTACGCCACGTCACCCTCTACTCGGTACAACGGCTCGGTGCCGTTAGGTATCACGCTGACGTGGCGCATTCTGATTGATCTCCGGACGAGAGATGCGTTCGATGTCCGCACAGAATAATTTATCCTTCCAAGAATTCAAATGAGCAACACTAACATGACCCTGATTTATCGGAATATAAGAAATCCCTTAAAAGAATAAAGCTAAATGGTTAAATATTGAGATATTTTTTGATGTAACGATTAGAATTTTATATTAAGAAACTCCAAAGTTAAATATGCTCATGCATGAGCAATCATAATTTGTTGAACACCTTAAGGGGGTGTTTGGTATCAGATTGGATTAACTTTAGTAGGATTTAGTAAATCGTATAAATCCGAATTTAGTAAATTCTAAGGCTAATAAATCCTGAAAAGTGTTTGGTATGATAAATGTTAAATCCTGTTAAATCCTGAGAAGATGTTTGGCAATATATTTCAAGATTTATGGCAGTTAGGAATTTAAATTGTATGATTATTAAAATTATTATGTTTAAATTACTCATTAATTATTATTTACACTATTAATTATATATTCAATGATATATATATTTTAAGTTATTTTAATTAAACTAATTATATTATATTTAATTACTAATTTATTATTAATTATTCAATTAAGTTACATTAGACAATTATTTTATGCACTAATTATATTATTTATTTACTTAATTATTATTATTTCAAATTATATTAATTAAGTTAAGCAGTAATAACTTAAGAGGCTCGTGGAGTTTGCCTTTCATCTTCTATTTTTGTCGTTGCTATTCGGTCGCTTCGCAGGAGGTGTAGAGAGATTGCACGCGTTGCTTCTTTGGCTCCTTCGTGGCTGTTCGACTTCACTCCTTCGACGACTTTACCTTCCAGTCGGATTGGAAGTTACGACATTTTGATGGGATGCAACAGCAGGAGTCATTGGCTTTGAAGATAACTTTCTCCCTTTCGCGCTCTTCTCCGGCCGTAAATCTCGTTAAATCCGGGAAAGAGTGGGATTAGGATTTACCGGATTTACCGGGATTTATGCCCTAAATCCGTAAATCCAGGTTTTACGAAGTCGCCGGATTTAGATGCGCGCCTAAAGGTATTTTGCTGGATTTTCCGACTTAAAAGTGAAGGCAAATCCCATACCAAACACCCCCCTAAAAGTTTTCCTAACAGAATAAAATTGTGAGATCATTAGATTAAAATAAATAATACCTCAACCGTAAGAATTTGAGCTATTACAATAACAAAGAAGAAAGGAAACTAGGGAATAACAAGTAAACTGAGGTTTATTTAGTTTGATTGATGCTTGATCCTCTGTAATGTAAACTTCTAATGACTCATTATGATACATTTGGCCGCAACTCGATCAGTCGTTGCATATGTGTTGTCGTCTCCTGGGAAAATTATCGGGTCAGGTCACCGGACGTGTTCGGAGCCCAATAAATGTGCTACATCACCTCTTACTCGAAAATGAGCACTACCAAGCAGTACCGAGCTCGGTACTTACTGCTCAGTACCGAGCTCAGTACTGCTCGATACTCAATACTTCACAGTACCGAATTCAGTACTGTGAATAGCGAACGTAAGATGAGTCCGGTGACTTGACCCAATAATTTCCCCGTTGCCTGAGGGCTCCTTGGGCCGCAGCCATGGACAAGGACAAAGAAGCTATGCTGGTTGGTCAGACTTTTTCACATTTGTTAGACTCGTGTGGGCTTATATCTACATTCCAATTCAAGAAGTTCAAGACTTGATATGATTGTACGAGTTTGGAAGTTAATTACATCACTTTGAGATTATATGGGCACTAATGCAGTTGAATTAGAGTTAAATAATGTTGTAAAATACAAATCAGTGACTTTTCCTGTTTCTCACATGTTCTGCATCACATTCACAACAGGTCAGCATAGTAATCAAAACTTTGTAATCTCGTCTTCTCCAATCAAGATGAAAAGTGGGCATTTAGTATTGAATCTTTCATAGAGAGGTTATTTTGATTGAGTCGAACCTCACAATTTTTTTTAACACAACAGTATTTTTCTGCGCTTCCAATTTTTTTTATAAAGTTGGTTGGGTTGAAAATGTGCTGCAACTTGGCGGATTTTTTTTATTGTTTAGGTGATCCAACATGTATCACTTGATTTGTTTTAGATTTTGTTTGGGATAGCTTTTTTATTGTTTTTTAAAACGATTTTTTAGTGCCAAATTTTCTAACTCATGAAATTTTTATACTAAAAAATTGTTTTAAAAAGCAACAAAAAAACTATCTCAAATCAAACCTTAATCTAATCCAAGTTCTTATGGGTGGTGAGTGTACAGTGATTGTCATTATCAATGTAAAAAAAGGTGTTGTTTTCTTTTTTTTTTTGGTTATTTTTCTTAATTATATATAAAAGCATGACTGCATGAGTGATGTATTCTTCTTTTTAAAGCAATTTTTTAGTAAAAAAAAATTTAAATTAAAAATTTTTATATTAAAAAACTGTTTTAAGAAATAAAAAAAAGCTAACCCAAATCAAACCTTATTGGGTTAACATATAGCACACGTGGCAATCATTTACTGGTGCATATTTTTGTAACGTTAGACTAGGTGTACTTTATTTATTCTATTTCTTCTATATATTGTCCTTAGCCTATTGGTTGAGAGCTTAGGCTTCCAACTAAGAGGTCCAGGGTTCGAGTCTATGTGTATGCGTTGTGTGTGTGAGTTTGCCTTAAATGACCTAAATGTCCCAAAATATATATATATATATACTACTAAGAGGAGAAATTATAATGTGTGGTAACTATTTCGAGCCAATGGCTTCGAAGGCTTCTTGACGGGTGCCACCTCATCCCCGCCACCCATGATTCTTTCAAGCTCCGGACAACAGATTCCGAATCCAGATTACAACACCTGGATCTCCATAGATCAAAACCTCGCAGCAGCACTTTACTCAGTAATTTCTCCGGCGATTCTACCCTACGTCCTTTCCATAGACCACTGCTCCGAAATCTGGCACACGTTGGACACTCGGCTTCAATCGTGTACGCGTTCCAGAATTGCTCATCTCAAGAACGAACTTCACTTCTTGTCTATGAAAGACAAGAATCTGACGCAATATCTTCTCGATGTGAAATCAAAAGTAGACGCACTCGCCGCTGCTGGAGCCCCTGTCGACGTCGAGGACGTCATCCATTATACCCTTAATGGACTACCAAACACCTACCAAGTCTTCAAAACGGCTATTCGCACAAATATGCGGTCGGTAAGTCTCGACGAACTATATTCTCTTCTTTGCAGCGAAGAACTCAATCCGGCACACGAAACAATCAAAGATCTTCAAGCCCTCAATCTTGGGGAAATCAAACGGCTCTCACAGCCGCTCGCGGCAGAGGTCGAGGACGCTCATCTCAATACCGAGGTCGACCTAACAACCGTCCACATAATAACTCCAATCAACCCCACGGAAACCAGCAAAGCCGTCCGTCCATAACTTGCCAAATATGCGGCAAGTTCGGCCACTCCGCGATCAAGTGTTGGCATCGCCACGACGAAAACTACAGCTCAGAACCCACTCCGGCACTCTTCACAACACCAACTCAGTCCGCATCATCTGAGTGGTTTCTCGACAGTCGAGCATCATCTCATCTAACCTCCGACCCCAACACTATACAACAATCTCAACCCTACAACGGATCTAGCCAAGTCGTTCTTGGCAACGGACATCAACTACCGATTCATAACACCGGTAAAGGTCTTCTCCCAACCCCAACAGGTAGTCTCAAACTAAAGAATCTTAATCTCGTTCCGAATCTGTCTTTTAATCTCCTATCGGTGCATAAACTAACCCACGACAACGACTGCATTCTCACTTTTTCGTCTCACGTCTATGAAATACAGGACCGAAAGATCCACCGCCGTCTTCTCACGGGTCCATCTATTAATGGCTTATACCCACTTCTAGTCCCAAATCATCCGGCCGAGCACATCCATCAACTAGCTCTAATCTCCGTTCAACTTGTCCCGGATCTCTGGCATAGACGTCTCGGCCACCCAGCCGCTTCTACCTTAGCAGCCATCTCCAAACGCAACCACAACATCCAAGTCACTCGTCTTGAATGCAACTCTTGCAAGATGTCCAAGAGCCACAGATTACCCACCTCAAGATCCACGACTGCTACCAACTCTGCGTTCTTGCTAGTTCACTCGGACGTATGGGGTCCGTTTCCCATTGTATCTAATAACAGTTTTAGATTTTATGTTTCTTTCATAGATGATTTCTCTAAATTCTCATGGATTTTTCCTATTACGCACAAGTCAAGTTTTTACAAAATTTATTGAATTTCAAAAATTTATAACTCGGCAATTTAACATCAACATTCGCACCCTCCGCACCGATAACAACAGCGAATTCATAAATAACAAATTCTCCAATTACTGCCGCACCATAGGACTAATCCATCAAACTACTTGCTCGTACACCCCATCGCAGAACAGAGTCACCGAACGCAAACACCGTCATCTCATCAAGACCGCAAGCACCCTATTAATCCAAGCATCCCTACCACAGCATTTTTGGGTCGATACTGTTCTCACCGCAAACTTGCTTATAAACTCTCTACCATCTCCTAACATGCAATTCAAATCTCTTCACGAACTACTCTTCGGCAAACAACCGGACTACAATTATTTCAGAGTCTTCGGATGCCTCTGCTATCCGTGGCTCAAACCTTACACCACAAACAAACTGTCTCCCGTATCCCGTCCCTGCGTATTTATCGGATATGCTACTTCCCAAAGGGTTATCGATGTCTCGATCCCTCAACAAACAAAATCTACACCTCAACCCACGTCATCTTCAACGAAGCTACATTACAATTTGCTCATAACCAAACTCAACCAACGCCTAATCCAACAATACAGTCATTCAAACCGCCTCTTCTACTGGTGCCAACTTCTGGCATACCTTCCTCTATATCCCATTCAAGCAACAATCCTCCCTCAACCTTCATTTCACACAGCCAAGCGCCTACACTCTCCCAGGACACCTCGGCCACCCGACCAGACACTTGCATACAGCCCGAAGACATCACTCAGCACACTGAACCCGATCAACCAACACTCACACAGCGCCATCATATGATTACTAGACTCAAAACCGGCCATTCTAAACCAAAGAAAATCTTTGATCTAGCTCATCTCTTGCAACCAACCTGATGCGGACATCAATCAGAGATTCAAGCATGTGTATCGCCCGAGACAGCGCAGATCGACGGCCACGATTCAGATATTATATTTCTAGTTATTTATGTATTTTCTTTATGCATTGTTCTCTTATTTCTTGGAGTTTCCTGTTGTACCCTTAGTATGAGTTGAGTCATGATTGTAGCCCCAAGGGCAATATAGTCGTTGTATTTTCTTTTGTGTTGGGACCTATATATAGGTCATTCCTAGTTGTATTGAGGTTAATGAATATTTGAATGAAATTTGATGTCATCTTCTTCTTCTTGCATGAGAGCTAGAGAAGGGTGAGAGAGCTCAAGTGGAGCAAATCGCAAGGCCCACCAGTCGTTGGAAGAGTCCGCGGCTCGTGGTTATTTTCTTTATCACCTACTTTGTGTTTTCTTCAACCATTTTCTCCCTCTACCACCTCAATAAAATCCCTACCCAAGCCTTTGTTGCCGACGCCCTTAGAGAAACCCGCCGCCGGCCACCTTGCCGGCGAATTCTCCCACCCGTCCGATCCTTCTCTTCGCATGCTTCGATTTTGAAATTTGAAATTTAAATTTTCAAATTCTTTCCTAATTTGGAAATCTAATTTAGGAAAGTTTTTGAATGAGTCTTAATTTCAAATTAAAATTAGATCGGAGTTTTTATGTTTGTATTTCCACGTCATCATCCTAAATTGGAAACCCCTCCACATGGATTTCCTTCTCTCCTCCTCTATGCATACCGCCGGCCTCCCATGGAGTGATTTCCATTAATTGCTTATTTAATACCTTGACCGTTTTGAAATCCTAATTTGAATTCAAAGATTCTCCCTCCCAAATTACTTAAAACTGAAATTAATTTCCAGTTTTAAGATTTCAAACCTCCTTCCCTCCAAGCATGCCGCCGGCCACCCCTATTGATGAGCCCCATTAATGGCTCATTAATCTCCCTTAATTAGATTTGAAATTTGAAAATAATTTCAAATAACTCACTCCTAATTTACTAAAATCTGAAATCAACTTCAGATTTGAGTAACTCTCTTGCCATCCACGTTTAACCTAGATTTCCCCTTCTCCCACTTTGGCCGAAACCTCCTCCTCCTCCTTGAAACCTCCTCCTCCTCCTGAGAAATCCCGCTGGCCTCTCCTCCCTCATATCACCCCCCCACCCCCCCAACGCAAGGATTCTCCCTCACCTCACTTAAATCTCTTCTCTTTGGAAGAATTCTCCAACATCAAGCATGTATGGCAGATCCGGAGTTTGAGTGGGGATTAGTGTTCGATGCCGACGGAAGCATTAATATCCTACGATCTCTGTGTTTTGACGTAGGATTTGAAGATGACGCTGCAGTTGAAGAATACTTGGAGAGAGTTGTCCCGATTCTTGTGAGCATCATCGACCGACGATTTTTAAGCTACGATTGGAGTATCGACAATCAAGCATTCACGCCATCCTTGTCTCCGTACACCTCTCCGTGGCTAAAGGCCATTGATGTGGCCACCGTCTTCGTGGCATCGTTAAGTTTGTTAAAGGCCTTCTCCCGCTAAGCCCGACTTGAGTGTGAGTGAGCAAGGTACTCGTTGTGAACTTTCTAGACATTAGCCGTGGGATTCTATTATTTTCCGCATTTGCTTTATTGTGTAGCTTTTGAGATCTTTCATTAATTGTGTCTAAACACTAGCTTGTAACTGCTTATCATAACATTTCGTTAATGGAAATTTCTTGAATCTTAACCTACGAAAGTTTAATCTTACATTGGTAAACTTTGTGATTCTTAATGAATTTCTTTTGCAATTCTTGAACGTATCACATCATAACTGAACCCACCACCTATAACCAAGCCGCCAAATCCGAACAATGGCGCGCCGCAATGTCCCAAGAATTTCAGGCGCTTCAATCACAAGGCACTTGGGAACTGGTTCCTCCCAATCCTTCGTTCAATGTTCTTGGATCCAAATGGACGTTTCGCATTAAATACAATTCATATGGCACCATATCCCGACATAAAGCTCGACTCGTCGCAAAGGGTTACACACAAGAATATGGCATAGATTACACCGAGACATTTAGTCCGGTGGAAAAAATGCCAATCATACGGGTCCTCATCCTCTTAGCTTTGCATCACAATTGGGTCATCCACCAACTAGACGTCTCCAACGCCTTTCTACTTGGGACTCTCTCCGACATTGTCTACATGCAGCAACCCCCCGGTTTCCAAGACTCACTTCATCCAAATTACGTCTGTCGTCTAAAGAAAGCATTATATGGACTCAAACAGTCTCCTCGGGAGTGGTATGCTACTCTTTCAAACCACTTGCTCACCTACGACTTCCAAATAAGCTATGCGGATCAATCCCTGCTCACCTACAAATCCGGCTCCACAAGAATGTACATTCTTATCTACGTCGACGACATCCTCCTTACAGGTAACTCCACCACCGAAATTAATCAACTTCTTTCTAATCTACACAACACGTTTCAGATGCGCAATCTAGGACCACTATCTCAATTCCTCGGGATCCAAACGCACAAAACAAATTCCGGCGTCATTCTCCATCAACAAACTTACGCAAAGAAAATCATTGAACACGCCGGAATGTCGCAATCCAAGCCAGTCTCCACACCGGTCCCATGCAAAATAAATCTTCACAACAACAACACCGATCCTTATGACAACCCGCACCTATACCGACAAATTATCGGGTCTCTTCAGTACCTCACTCTAACACGACCTGACATACAATTCGCGGTTTAACAACTATGTCAACACATGCAAAAACCACTCAAAATCCATCACGAAGCACTCAAACGGCTACTTCGGTACATCCATGGCACCACGCACACAGGTATTCCTCTATCCCGCGATAATCTTCTTCTACAGGGATATGTTGATGTCGACTGGGCAAGAAACTCACATGACCGAACCTCAATCTCCAGGTTCTGCAATTTCTTTGGACAATCACCTATCTCACGGAAAGTCAAAAAACAAAGCACAATAGCACGATCTTCCACCGAAGCCGAGTACCGAGCTCTAGCAACCAAAACAACCGAAATTCTGTGGCTTCAACGGCTCCTGAACGACTTCCATACAACCCAAGAACAACCTACCACAGTCTACTGCGATAAAACGTCCGCCATAGCCCTCACAAACAATACAGTCTTCCACGCCCGCACCTAACACATAGAAGTCGACTGCCATTTTATTCGGGACTACATCAAGAAAAATCAAATTTCAGTTCACCATATATGTACCAATGACCAACTTGCTGATATACTTACAAAGGCATTACCAACACAAAGATTCAAGCAAATATCAAGCAAACTCACAGCTACTACGCAGCCATCAGTTTGAAGGGGGATGTTAACATATAGCACACGTGGCAACCATTTACTGGTGCATATTTTTATAACGTTGTGTAAAGTGCTGTTTTTGCTCCAGGATCGTCCTGGGATGATCAGTTGAGGATTTGCTCCAGAATGTGTCCAGATTGCTCCAGGTGATTTTCCTGTAGGTATCGGCCGGGCCGATAGGGACATCGTCCAGGCCGATCAGTTCAGTGCAAGAATTTCGTCCTGAGAACCGCCCTGGGAACCGTCCAGGACGATTTGATTTGTTCAGATCGTACCAGGACGATCTTGCGATCGGCCGGGCCGATCTGTGTATTATAAAGCTGAAATCAGTCATTTTGAGGAGAGAGAAAAATCAAAATTAACGAAAATATCAGCCGAGGAGAGAGAAAGTCGAGGTGAAATTTGCAAAAGTTGATTTTCGGGCGACGCGGAGCTGTTTTCGTCCGAAGAGATTGTTCAGGAAATTGTTGTACGCAAGGTAAGGCACAATCCGTCTTTCTCAATTTTCAGAACCGTCATGTTTGGCGGTATTTTCTGTCCGGATTTGATTTTGGCGAGGCATTTTCGTCCGTATTTTCCGTCTGGTTCAGTTTTTACCGCGTAACTTTCTGTATGTTGTTGACGTGTCGAGTGTGCACATTTTGGTTATTTTCTGGAGATTTTTGTCCGGGTATTTTGAATTCGACGGGGTTTTATTTCGACTGTATTTTTCTGTGTAGTCGAAAATTGTCTGAGCAGTAAAATTAAAGTCTTGCAATGTTGTTATCTATATTCTGTGCAAATTTGGTATTTTGTGATTG